TTTTACAGAATGAGTCTTGGAATTTTATACCTCTTTTTTTTTTAATCAAAGGTATTAAAATAAATACTGGCACGAGGTTGCAGAATGGACTTCAGGTTTTAAGTGTTACAGTGAGAGAAATCTCTTGATAAGCAGGCAAGTGTCATCAGAATATGTCTGAGTCAGCAAACCTCCTATTTTTATTTATAATCATAGAATCATTATGGTTGGAAAAGACCTTTAAGATCATCAAGTCCAACCGTCATCTAATTCTACCATGCCCACTTCTAAACCATGTCCCTGAGCACCATATTTAAATACATCCAAGCATGGTGATTCCACCACTTCCCTGGACAGCCTGTTCCAGTCTTTGATAACACTTTCAGTATAGAAGATTTTCCTAATGTCTAACCTAAATCTCCCCTGGCATAACTTAAGGCCATTTCCTCTTGTAGCTTGTGAGAAGAGACTCACACTCACCTCTCTACAACCTCCTTTCAGGTAGTTGTAGAGAGTGACAAGGTCTCCCCTCAGCCTCCTTTTCTTCAGACTTAAACAACTCCTGTTCCCTCAGCAGCTCCTCATAAGACTTATTCTCAAGATCCCTCACCAGCTTTGTTGCTCTTCTTTTGGACCCTCTCCAGCACCTCAATGGCTTTCTTATACTGCAGCGTCCAAAACTGACACAGTACTCAAAGTGCAGCCTCACCAGTGCTGAGTACAGTGGGACAATCACTTCCCTAGTCCTGCTGCCTTTATTATTCCTGATGCAGGTCAGGACACCATTGGCCTTCTTGGCCACCTGGGCACATTGCTGGCTCATGTTCAGACGGCTGTCGATCAACAACCCCAGGTCCCTTTCTGACAGGCAGCTTTCCAGCCACTCTTCCCCAAGCCTGCAGCGTTGCATGGGGTTGTTGTGACCCAAGTGCAGGACCCGGCACTTGGCCTTGTTGAACCTCATACAACTGGCCTCAGCCCATCGATCCAGCCTGTCCAGGTCCCTCTGCAGAGCCTTCCTATCCTCAAGCAGACCAACATTCCCACCTAACTTAGTTTTGGGCCTGGCCCAACTGTCTGGGTCTGGCCACCGAGCCAGTGTTTGATCCAGCAGAGTGTATGCCCATCCAAGCCTTTGGCAACCAGTTTGTGCATGAGAATACTGTGGGGAACAGTATTGAAGGCTTTACTGAAGTCCAGGCAAACAGCATCCACAGCCTTGTGCCCAAACTTGGCAAAACCCAAACTTAGCAGCAAAGAAAATTAACAGAGTTCCCAATGGAATTGGATATCTAATGGGATGTAAAGTCTCCACTGTTTCCAAAGGCATTTCTGAAGACTTATCTACTCAGGGAAAACTTCAGCTAAGCTTGATAAGGAATGTATTTGCCTAGATTTTTATTTCATATTACTAAGCAGCATGGAGCATCCTTTTCATGCATTGCTCCTCCTGCTGTAGGAAGTTCAGGAAACAGTGAAATTACCCTGGCTATGATTTGACAGGAGAAAATATTTTGGGAAGCAATGACTCCACTCAAACAGAAACCCACTGAACCCCAGGCAGCAGCCGAGTCCTGCAGAAGTGGGTAGGTGCATCCATGTACAGCACTGACAACCTGACTCGTAGGCTGTCAGGTTACAGATGTGCTTGGAGTGCGTACGGCTAGCAGCCATCAACTCCATAAAGAGGGGGACATGCAGTGACCAGCTGCAAGAATCCTAGGCTGCTGTGCAAAGTCAGACCTTAAACAAGGTGGCGTCCTGCTATTGATGTGGAAAACTTTAATTTTTTAAATACCCGGCCAAAAGCATGCATATTTCAATGTCTCCATATATCTTATTCCAGAAGGGTCATGCATATTATGCATAGACGCATGAAATAAGTACATGAACAAAAAAGAAAGCTCTGTGAGGATACGCATGTCTTTTTCCATGAAAGGAATGGGTTTGCTTCCTTTGGATTCCAATACCAGTGTCCTCCCTATGTAATGGTATCTTGGTGCAGAAGACTGAGATGAATGAACTTCCACAGTCACCTGTAACAGCCTCTTCCAAAATGAGCTCTGCTTCGTATGTAAGCTGTCAATCTCTTCCTCAGAACAGAATATACATGAAAGTCAAAATATGCAGTTGTGATCTATCCCAGGTAAAATTTTTACATTAAAAATATCCTTCCTCATAGCTTAGATCAGTATCCTGTTCTATTGGTAAACGTAAATTTGGACCTGTTAATGTATTTGTCATGAATATGCTCCTTTTTTGATTCGTTACAGATTATCTTGGGTCTAATAATAATTGCACTGACCAAATAATGTATTAGTCATTGTAAGAAAAAACAAGTATACTTTGCAGATGGGTAATATATGGCAAGACTTTGGTCCAAAGTGTTTTATCTAGACATAGATAAATTATATGCAAATATATGTATGTCACATTTTTTTCTTTTTTGTTAGTATTTGGTCTTAGAAGGAATTCCTGCAACTGAAACAGTGCTAAAAATGTCCTACAGATTAAGATTTATTATGTCCATGTGCTGATTTTATGTGTATGTATCCAGAAACCATAGTCCCTGAAATAATGAAAACTTTCAGTCTCTCTCAGCTATTAATCCTTAAAGCTACATACTGCTGCTTTCTTTTTGTGTTTGAAATTTTTGAAAGCAGTCTAGGGGATTTAGACACATATCATGTCTTAATTCTAGTGGCAGACATTCATCTAAATCCCCTATACAATTTTTTATTTTTTTTTAAATTATTCAGGCTTCCTTTTATCTGCTCACTTTCCTTTCGTAATGGCATTGGTTAAGCACTGCTTGTGTTAAAAGTGTTACCTCTTGGTCACTGAAGAGGATTAGACAGCTTTATACCAAAGGAACCAAAAGACTGAAACAGCTAAGAAAGAATTATTCAAGTATATCAACTGCACTGCACTTTCTTCCAGACAAGACTGTATCTTCAGAAGTGTGTGAACATGGCTGGTGCACTGGCTGCCTCATATATTCTGGGATTTTTCTGGCATTAAAGTAACACTAATTGGAAAAAAAAACCCCAACAATTACTATTGCTATTAATATGAATAGCAACATTATTTATTTTCAAGCAGTTTGCTCTTTTTCTCTTTCAGTCCACCATAAAGTTCTTCTTGAAGGATTTTAAGTGAAAAAAGAAAAAAAATATATTTTTCCATTTTTTATACAATTACAGTTTCTTGGAGGAACTGAAAAAATGAAAATCTCCCTTAGGAATATCCTCTTCTTTTAAGAGTTTTCTATCTTTTATTTCAGTCCTTTTATATCCAGAAGACTGCAGCAGTGGAAAAGAGAGGTCAAAAGGTGGAAACATCACTGCTTATGTAATCCCCAAAGAGGGTTATTCCCCTCACAAAAATGGCTAGTATGACATGTGAAATTAAGGATATTCATTTCTGTCTGCACATCACTCGTACTGGAATTGGTGAATCTTTAGAAAAATAGAGCAACATGAGAACAACTGAGCATTTCCCATGGTATCAGCGAGGATAATATCAAAGTTCAAATCAGTTTTTCTAACCTGGCACTTGTCAAAGAGCTCTGCAGAGCCTTCCTTCATCTCCCCGTACACTTCTGCCAACTAAAGGACAACAGGTATGAAGATTTATTAGAAACAGGAAAAGGGGCACCACTTGGATTTCAGCACTCCTATAAGTCCTGGCAAATATGCATGCATTGTTGTCTCATTTGGACCTGGGCTACACCCATTCCCACATGGATAAAACACATTTATAGTGTGTCTGTGCCAGGATTAAACAATCTGATGTGGTCTATAATAAAAGTATAATGATTTTCAGGCACAGTGTATACGCAGTACTTTGTAGGACAAAAGATCACTGGACAGATATTTTGTTACTCATTTCATGTGTCACTGAATGGTACAGTAAAGGGCATTTTATAGGTTTGGTGGAACACAGTACTCAAAAAAATTCGCATGCCTCGAAGATCTACTGAATGTGCCAATTCAACTTCCAACAAAACTTTGCAGCTAAAATTTCAAAATGAATGGCTAATTAAATTGGTATTTGCATATCGCATACAAATGCACAAATGCTTAAAACCAAACAGGATACCTTCTCAGATCTAGCTTTAATAACCTAATTTCCCCATACATGCATGTTCTCATAGTAAATGTGAAAAATTCCCACTGAGAATTAACTTAAAATCAATGCGTTACATTTATAATAAAGCATTAGATGGCTAGTACTTTCACCCAATCAAACCAGTTTACCATCAGGAAAGCAATGAAGGAATTGCTAACAAGTAATCTAGGCTCATCTGTTACCTTGAATTTTAAATATGTTCTAAATTTAGAAATACTGTCAAAATCTAACAAATGAGTTCTTAATTTTTTTCGGAATTCACTGCAAATAATATGAGAGAGAAAAATGGATCTTTCAATTATAACTGAAAAGTAGGATTAGCTGGAATGGAGTGCCTTGATTGAGTATTTCTTTACTCATGGTACATACTTAATCATACTGCTGATGTATTTTTAAAAATTCTTATTTTTTAAAATAGTAGATGGTGAGATTACTTGTGCTGTTGTCACATTATTTATATCTTGCTATGCTCTTGCCTATTGTCTCTTAACAGACAGAACGTCAAGCACTTTCTGCAGTGACAGAACGATATGGTTTCATTTGATTGTCACTGGTGATATTTTTGGCTCATTTTTCATGGCTCTGTCACCATGGATTCATAAAGATGCTGCCTCTCCTCATTTGGTTATCGGTTTTCAGTGGCAATTTTTCATACTTGACTTGACCAATGTGATTTTCACTGCTGTGTGCTGACTTTTCCTATGATATTATCTGTATCAATTCAGAAGACTTAAAATACTCTCTCAAATTTGACTGCAGATAGTTCTGTGAAAACAGAGGGCAACTTCACTACCAGGAGCATTCAGACACATTTATATCACAGCTTTCCTGTCACATGTAGGGAGGTTTCTGAACTGAAAAAGAAATACATATCTGGTTAAAATTCTTACCTTCCAACTCCCAGCAGCCAAGTTCTGCAGTGCCCCTGCTGCGCCCTCCAGCGTGTCTGGATTTGAGCACTCAGAAAGAAGTGTGAGGTAGGGTTTGACTATTGAAGGGTGCCACAGCATCTGGATTCCTTTGGGTGGTTCTGCACAGTCTGGGAGAGGTCCTACACCATCCCACTGTTGAAAAGTATAAATCAGATTGTCAGCAAGGAATAGCAAAATAGTTAACGGTTGCCTCAGTTGAAGCAATAGCATCTATACAACATATATATGCGTGTGTGAAGGCATCTGCTCGGAAGGAGCTGTTCTCAATTTTACCAAATCATGTGATGCTTCATAGAGAAACTGAATTTCATACCCAACACTCCTTAGAGAGGAGCTATAGCACTGGCAGAATTCACAGTGTTTTAGCTAGCTGACATAACAAAAACATTTTTCACTGCATTTATTTTTTTGGGTGGGAACAGAAGCCCAATGAACGTGAATGTATTTTAATAGGAAAATGTAGAGCTTGCATATGAGAGAACTTCCTTTTTCACATCCTGCTCGGTTCTCCGCATTCTCTCTCTTCTCATGAGAGGGAAAAACCAACAACATGAAACAGTAATGTAGAAAACAAAATCATACAAGACCATGAGCCCTCTATCCCCTGAAACATCCAAGAGTGGCAAGTCTTCTCCAACTGCTCAACCACTTCTGGCTTCTCACCACACAAGGTCTGGAGGCGTTCAGCCATGCAGTCAGCCAGCACTACAGTGTGAGACTGCGATGCATTAGGTACAGCCACCTCTCACAAAACGCTCTTTCTCTCATTGCTTACAGAGTTTTGCTGCAAAAAATAACCCTAGTCCGATTTCCAAAATGGGCAATATTAGCACCTGGACAACAAGAAGGTTATTGCAAAAAAACACACTCCTACTAGAAAGAGAAACTTTACTCCAGGAGAACAGTGATTCACCACTCCAGTGGAATGCACAATATGTGTACCTAGGCATGGAAAATCTTAAAAAGAAGGTAATTCAAGGATGGTTTTGCTTTTTTATGAACAAAAGTAGGATGTGGAATGCGCTTTTAAAGTATTTCAATTGTGATTTTTTTCCGTATATGTCATACATATTCTTCTTTGCTTTGAACAGATAAAGGGATTTAGAAAATTCATAGCCTTACTACCAGTGTTAAAAACAAGCCCCAACTTTTTAATACAATCTCTTTCCTAACACCTCTGGCATGTATAGACAGCACAATATGAAAGTAAACCTTGTAATGCCATGGGTTAGAGCTTACTGTGATGATGTAGATAAAAAATGTGTATCACAACATTTAACATCTACTAGACATAAAAAGATAGCACAGGCCAAATAAACTCCTCATTTAGATTTGCAACAGTTAATTTTCCTAGCTTAGTTAGGAGTCAAACACCACAATGGTACTTTGCACTGGGGAAAGATGTAGATTCTCTTGTTTTCAGGAAGTATCCATCATTTTATTTAAGCTAACTTCAAAAATCTACATATAATTTAAGACACAACCAATCAAGTCCTATCTAATAACAACTAACAGCTTAATTTCAACAAGATTTTGCTGGATTACTACCAGTGAGAATCTAGAACACTATTTTTTCTAAGTTAAAGCAGAAAAAACACCAAAATGGAAAGCTAGTAGGACTATTCAATACACGAGTAGCTCCTCAAAACCAGAAAGTTGCTCAGATATGAAACTCACTGCACTGGAGAAAAGTTACCATAGTTTAAAAGAACGGGCAGAGCAATAGGCAGTTATGGTTTAGAAACTACAGGAAAATGGTCTTCTGGAAAAAATCCCTTCCAGTGACACTACTATAGGGCTGCACCTTTGAATTTTTTTTTAATACACTTCTGCCTTTATACCAAGAGGCTGATTTCACTGTATGTGACTCAGTTCTCCTTTTTTCTCCATATAAATCACCATCCTTGCCAGAAACGAATTCTCATCAGCTCATAAAAATACATAAAAACCCGCTTCTTATTTTACCTCTTGGAATTCAATCATTTGCGCTGTCAGAATATTTTGGAAAACAAATGAGAAACACGTCTTACAGGTCAAATCTGACCTCACACCAGATTCGGGCTTTGTATCTTAGTAAGTCCACCAATGAATGACCTGTGGCATCCAATGCACAAATTTAGGTTTTCATCCATTTCATTCCAATTTGCACCAATTATGGACACATTACACTGAACAGTGCTTGCACAGGGAACTTAATATATTATTTCAGAGACAAAGTACATGTAATGTATCAAATGTATTAGACTGACCCAATACATTTTTTGTGCACATGTGGTGATATAACTCTTTTTTAGACTCAGGCATTTACAACTCCAAAGACTGCTGATAATCAGTGAAAATCAGACGATATAAATAGAGCTGTATATATGTTCATGCTGCACTGTTACTTATAAGGCACTAGAAATAATACTTACAGATAAGTTAAAATTTAATGTAGTTTTGCCATTGCACCCAGTAATGAGAAAACATTTTTTAAAAAAAGTGAGACAAATTACTGCATTTCCCTGCTCTTCTCGCTACTCAGTTTCAGCACATGTTTGCATTAATTTATCACCAACCGTGGGGAGGAAGGCATTTTTCTCAAGACGCTGTGATGCCTCAGGGTCCCTGGGAGGGTGATGGAAGTCTTTGGCACTGCACATGCACACGCAGTGAAGGTGCACTAAATCCAGTGATGTTGAATAACGTCTTGCACTATTTTTCGGACGTGTTGTGTGTGCCCAGAGCAGCTGAGCGGTGTGCACCGGGAGGGTGTCACTGCCAACCACGCAAGACACATGTGCTGTGCCTATGGTAGTCTCTTCAAGGTTGTGCGATAACGAGTGACAGAACTGTAGCCACTTCTGGGGAGGTAAAGGGCACAAACAACCATGACCTGTCACGCTCTCCCCACCTCCACGTTTCAGCTCCTCTGCATGTGTGATCTCAGCTAAGCCTTCATTGCAGGGCTTAATGGCTTCTGGCATCTTCCACGTAGCTGAGACCAGTGCCTGCAGCTGCACAGCCCAACTGTTGCAGGGCGCATGGGACTGACACAGGCCTGAAAAGAAGCTATTGCAAAGGAGATTGTCCTGATCCTCATCCATTTACTTTGTATTTCATAAATGTAAACATCAATTGCCTTAGTGGAAAAAAAAGTATTTTCCCTGAAATGATATTAGGGTTTATTTTCTCTAATGGTGGCTAAGGCATGGCAGAAGTTGCTTGGACATTCACATTGCTCAATATTGATGAACTAAGGCAGCACGAACAACTTTACCCAGTGAACTACTGGAACAGTTACTGTATTGTTGCAGACCATCAGGAATGAGCAGTAAGGTCCATTTGAGATAGGCTGTGGATGTAGCAGGAGCCTCTGAAAAAGCGGCTGCATGCAGAAGATGACTGCGTGCAATTACTTTTCCAAGCTTACGCTAAGAAGGAAAAAAAACTCAAACAAATTTTCCTTCCAGGCTTCCCTCCTTCAGCTGAAATTACCCACATATATTGTGGTTGAAGCTGACAAACTGTTTGTTACGTGGGTGAGATACAAATCCCTCATTTCCTGAAACTGGTGTAAGGCAAGGATAAAAGTCAAGAAGAATAAAAAACAAATACCAAGATATTCAAGAACAACACTTTTGAGAGTAAGAGTACTCTAATAAGGTTTCCAAAGTTTTCACATTACTAAGGAACTTTGAGTGGAGAAAAAGATCACTCATTGAGATGCTCCCCTGTGCCACACAACAGATTATTTACCATCTTGTTTCTCATATTAATGAAAGCAAATCCATGCTTATAGTGTAATTGTACTGAATACCAGGGAAGGCTTCAACTCAGTAAGAGAAGCGCACTTTGCATATCTGGGTTTTTGTACTAACAATCTCAAGTTGGTGGGGTTTGTTATTAAGGATTATATTAAGGTTTACATGATGATCGATTCTTCTGGGATAACAAAACAACAGTGTTTTATTTTCATTTACTATATATGAGTATTTTCCTGTCCCATAGTCTGTGCAAAACACCACTACTAAAAATATCACAACAAACTAGGAAAAATCTCAAACAAAACCCAGAAGTGACTAAAACCACCCTGATCTCTCTCCAGCGATCCTAGACATTTGAGACAGACTGGTAACACTGTAGCTATGCTCTTTGTAGCAGCAGTGACAAAATTTATACCTGCAATTAAACCACGCTCACCAAAAGCATTTCTGAAATACCAAAGACTTTTAAACTAACAGGCCCCCTAAGAGGACAATGGTTTCTCACCCTGCCTATCTCAGTGGCTGTGGCAGTCTATGACAGCAGTGTCTAGGTACGTCAGACCATAAGCCCTTTTGGAAGCCTTTGTCCAAGAGATGCATTGGCCAATGCTGTTGAGAGCAGAAATCTAAAGCTAAGCAGCAAAAATTCACCAAAATCGAAGAGCTTGCTTTTAGGGGTGATGGGAATCCATGCAGCCACTGCAAAGGAGACAGGAATGACACTGATTAAATCAAGTCAAATTTCAGTTTAAACATCCATGCCTGAAGAAAGGTGGCGAATATAAATGAATATGTCTACTGACACAGAGATTACAGGAGTAGGGTGGGAGAGGGCAGAGCTGCTGTGGTCCAGCAACACATAGTCTCAACAAAACTGGATGATTTTTGGATACAGTTTATTGCATAAATAAAAGTAACCTCTCAATTTGATGCAACAGTTTCTACAACCTTGAGGAGGTATTTGGAATGCCTTCAAAATGTTTTGAATATTTATTATTAATCTGGCACATGAATAATTCTAAATTTTACTTCAGATTATATAATACATTCTTAAAATAACCGTCACTGCCTTTATTCAACTTTTTTATATTATGCACTTAGGTAAGAAATAAAAATTAATTCAATTTGTCTTTGCTTAAAACCAGATTCCTCCCAAATAAAATCAGGATGGATTTCAATTCAGGGACAACAGTCTTTGGCATTTTGCTACATCTCCTTCTCCTCACCCCTCTTCTCTCCACAGGAAGCTGAAGCTAATGGGCTTTTCACTATGTTCCACAAATTGACAAGTACAAAATCATATTTAATGACCCTGTAGTTTTGACTTTGAAAGCAAGTTGGTCATAGAGGATACTGAGAAATTCCTGGGGTATATGAGTTATTATT